CCTTTCTCTTCTAGCTTCTGGAGACTGCCGTATCCCTTGGCTCCTGATCACTTCACTGCAATCTCGGCTTCTATCCTTATATTGCCTTCTGTCGTTGTCTTTGGCCTTTGTTGGGGATAAAACGTGTCCCTTCTTCCCTTCTAGATTCTTTGGTTGGCATAATACCTAAATTGACATAAGCAAGATTAACAGAAGAAAAACAAATTTAATTTCCTATGTACAGGAGCCCCACAAAACCATAAGAGGCTCCCGGGCAATCAGGTAATTGACCCTCACATTCCAGCCTGAGTTAATGAGAGGTGGGTAGTTGTCTAGGGCCTCAAAGAAAAGGAAGGCAAATTCCAGGAAGATGAGAAGAGCAGATGTCTGCTAAACAATTGCTTCCCACACCATGAAGATAAGTCTTTCTGATATAAAAAGTTATCTTTGGTGTTAGCTCTATCCCGGTATGGGTCCTCTATCCAAATTCTTTTACGCAGTTTAGGGGGAGGCAAAAAGTTCTTCCCGAGTCTGTTGGGCCTTGAATGTCTTCTGCTTAAAACAGTCTACATCCCCACGAGGCACATTCTGGAGCAGCCTGCTGTGGACCTTTCACCATCTTTCCTTTCTCTCAGGAGAACCCCTGTGATTAAATTTGAGCCACACCAGGTAATCCAAAACAACCTCTCCATCTTAAGATCCTTAACTGTATCATGTTTGAAAAGTCCCTGTTGACACAGAAGGTAACAGTCACAGTTTCCAGGGGTAACAACATGGACATCTTTGGGGAGCCACGGTAACATACAATCCAGAAGATACAAAAATCAAGTAAAACAAACAGACAAAAGATCCCAGCAACTTTGCTGCTTAAAAAGATATCTAAATAGTGGTGTTTAAGTGCTTTGGGATTACATTTCTTTACCTACATTAATTGGCCTATACAAAATTATAAATTATAAATTATCAAAATCATATAAGTGCTATGAGTTGGATTTTCAGTTTATTAGGTCATCAACAGAGTATAGAACATATAATAAAACATAATTAAAGTTATTACATAATAGAAAGTATTTTTCTCAGGTAAAATATTGTCCCAAAATAAAAGATGTTTAATTTTTGTAGAGCGGAAGAAAGGGTGAATTAAGACAACTGTTATTATTTCCTTGTTTTTCATGGCCCCAAATAAATTGTTCTATCTAAAATGATTAAATCAAGATATAAAGGCATACGTATAAAATTGAAGGTATTAAAGGCAGCTCTAAAAGCGAGAAAAAAATCATAAAAGAATCAACAAAATGTGAAGGGTTGATGAGGAAACAAGGGAGTGCATTAGCTAATGGCCTCCTCCTTCACAGTGGGGAAGTGGTGTCTAAAGTTAATAAATCTTGGAGAAAAATCTACATCACATAAAGTCAAAATGGTAACTTTATTTTCTATTTAAATCTCAGATTAATTTCTAGCTTTTGCTTTGCTCCTACTTATGTTGTAGTGCTCTGGTCCTTGTAGGATTCATTTCTTAGGCTTCCCTATCAGCTGGCTTCCAGCCAGGTTCAGCCAAAGGGAAGGAGCACTGGAGAGTGAGGTTAGGACAAAGCAGAAGCCAGCTAGCGCCCTCCGACCCTTCTCTGCCTCAGGTGGCCTCTCCAGCTCTGGTTGCTAACCCAGCCTCAGACCATCTAAAGGTTCCCTACTGCAACACGCAGTGTATTCCTCAATGGGAGCCCTAAGTTCCCAAAACTTACTAACACTATTATCTCTGGTATCTGATATTATTTGGTGTCCTTCTACTAATTTTCTGTGGATCTTTCTACTTTTAAAAGCCATAGTTCTAGTTAAAAACAGACAAAAAAGTGAAACAACAGCAACAGAAGGATATTTTTGAAGTGAGGATATTTTTGAAGAGTTATTTGTCCCTGTTTTATAGAGTTATTATCAATAAATATTTATGAAGTACATAATATGTGCTGGGAAGTATTGGAGACACTTGGGATGTTTGAGTAAAAAAGATGGAATATTGTCTAGGAAACTTACATATGCATATAAATATAATCAAATGATCTTACGCAGTAATAGCAATGAAGGTATTTGGCACAGAAAATCGAGTAAACATCCATAAAACCTTTTGTTATGAAAACTGACATTGGTCAAAATATCAAGTGTTGATATTTCACCATATTTAAAAGTTGTTGTATTATATCACTTATGTATTTTACATGGCATAATGTTGTGGTATATACTTACAATTTATTTTACTTACCTACAAGCATGATTTTGGCAGTAACTCATTTAGACTCTAGGAGAATTTTCATTAAACGGGCAGGCATATTAAGTAAAGCAAACTATCAGTTCAGCTAAATAATTGGTCAAGAAGTCAATTCTGGCAAGAATTTATGTTGACTGAAATGGCTTGTTGTTCGATTAAGTTAATTTTTCAATTTAGTCAGTGCTTTTAAAGCAATTTTGTGTGTGTGTGGTAACAGCTTTAGTCGGCTGAGGGATTACACTCCCAGCCTGAAGTAACTAACATTAATAGAACTCTCTCTGATGGTATTGCTTTATATTCAGAAAACTCAGTGGTAGACCAAATAAGAAATAATAAACATAGCAACATGTTTTTGAAGCACAAAGTAGAGTCATTTTAGGAGCCTAAAAGCCCAGGTACAAATAATTATACCTAAAATTGTTTAATTACAACTCAGAGATAAATGTGAAATGTCCAACTGCAACTGGAATTGCTCGATTGCCTGCACGATTATCCAATTGCAGGATTAATTGTTGGTTGCTAATTTTTTTCTCTAAAATAAATTCAGTGTCCATATATGTATTTTAGATCTCAAGTACATACCATTAAAGATTTAAAATTTGCTTGAAGCATTGCTAGTTTCTATCATACAGATTTTTTGAAAAACATTTCTAAAGATACCATCAAAAATCATGTTTCAGGGCGCCTGGGTGGCTCAGTTGGTTAAGCGACTGCCTTCGGCTCAGGTCATGATCCTGGAGTCCCAGGATCGAGTCCCGCGTCGGGCTCCCTGCTCAGCGGGGAGTCTGCTTCTCCCTCTGACCCTCTTCCCTCTCATTCTCTCTCTCTCAAATAAATAAATAAAATCTTTAAAAAATATCATGTTTCAGACAAAATTAACAATAATGGACTTAATTTATACTGGCATAATTAATTCACCTTACCCGTGTATTATTTCCTGAGGAAGTTTACAGGTGACTTTTATTTAAAATAGTGTCTCTCAAACATCCATTTTCATCTGATGAACTGGCATTATGCAGACGCTATTAAGCAAGGTTATTCTTGAAAATGTAAATTATTAATGTCATGTGTATTGCTCCAAGTAGAAGACCATGCATAGCACTGAGTAGTTCAGCAATAACAGGAACAAATCCAAGATTGATTTACAAATATTTTACTGTTTACATGCAGTAGTCACTCAAAATAATTGATATATGTAATTGACTTAAACTAATTTTCAAAAGATAAGAGTGACTCCATAAAAGCATAAATTTCAGATCCTTATTTTGACATTGAGTGTAATTCTACTTCTCTTTGCATCTCTATCATTTTTTTCCTAAGTATTTTGGGCATAATATTCAGAATCTAAGGAATAAAAGCAGTTTGAAGAGAAACTGCAGTTAAAAAAGAGATTTGTGAGAGATGTTTCTCAGAAGAAAGAAAAATAAATAAATTTTAAAAACAAATAAGGAGAGAGGAATGAAGAAAAGGTGGTTGTGCTATGGTGATTGAAATGATTGTTTCAATGGGCACCTGGGTGGCTCAGTCAGTTGAGCATCCAACTCTTGATTTCAGCTCAGGTCATGATCTCAGGGTCTTGAGATCAAGCCCTGTGTTAGGCTTCACATTCAGTGGGGAAGGAGTCTGTTTGTCTTTCTCCCTCTGCTCCCCTCCCCAACCCCTCTCTCTCTCTCAAATAAATAAATAAATAAATAAATAAATAAATAAATAAATTTTTTTTGTTTTTAAAAGAAGAGTATTTTGAAGTGAGCATTATATGTTTTAGATTGCTTTGGCCATAATAACTTACCATGTCTATTTTAATGCATTCTCTCCTGGGAAAATATTGAAGAAAACAGCCCCAATATTACCTATTAATCTGTACTTGCAAACTTGGCAATTAAATTTTACTGATTTACTCATTCAGCCACCAAGCTGCTTTTAGTGAAAATGGAGATGCATGTTGGGCCCATTTTTAAATGGTGGGAGTCACCCACTCGATTGAAAAGAGTAAATTCCACAAGTTCTAATATAACCAGTTGCCTACTTTAAATGCAAAAACTTGGATGAGTGGCTTAACTCTTCTAGGCTTGATTCCCTAATCTATGAATTAAGGGAGTTGTCCTCATTATGGGTTGAATTGTGTCCCCCCTGCAAATTAATATCTTGATGTCCTAACTCTTACACCTCAGAGTGTGACCTTATTTGGAAATAGGGTCTTAGAGATGTGATTAATTAATATGAAGTCACACCAGAGTAGGCTGGGCCTATAAGGCAGTGCGACTGGTGTTCTTACAAAAGGAGAGATTTGGAGATAGTCACGCACACTCAGAGAGAACAGTGTGAAGATGCAGGTGGAGGTGGGGTGATGCAGCTGAAGCCAAGGAATGGGCAAGATTGCGGACAAGTCGCCAGAAGCTGGGAGAGAGACATCGAACAGATTCTCTCTCCCAGCCCTCAGAAGGAGCCAGCCCTGCCAACACCTTGACTCCTGGCTTCTAGAACTGAGAGAGAGTAAGTTTCTGTTTAAGCACCCAGTTTGCAGTACTATGTTATAGCAGCCAGCCTGAGCTGACTAATTCATGGTGCTATCATTCCAGGTGTTTGAGTTCCTGCTTCCTCATCAAGTACAGACAAGTACAGTACAGTTTAAGCAGCAAGAAGACCACCAAAGGTGGCTTTAACATACACCGTTTTTATTTATTTATTTATTTATTTATTTTTTAAAGATTTTATTTATTTATTTGAGAGAGAGAATGAGAGATAGAGAGCACGAGAGGGAAGAGGGTCAGAGGGAGAAGCAGACTCCCCGCTGAGCAGGGAGCCCGATGCAGGACTCGATCCCGGGACTCCAGGATCATGACCCGAGCCGAAGGCAGTTGCTTAACAAACTGAGCCACCCAGGCGCCCGAACATACACCGTTTTTAATTTCTCTATTTCCAAATACAAATTTCCAAAGAGGTCTTCCTACCCATTTCTCCAGCAAGAGGGGAGAAAAAACATTTAATCTGTGTAATGAAGGGTCTATCGGAATAGCAGACACCTCCATGGATTTGATTAATTGTTGCATTGATTTTTGTTACTTAATACCTATATATAATTTATTTTTGTAATAGTTGAGTTGCACAAAATGTTGAATTTGAAAAAAAAGTTAGAGAACAAGAAAATATTCTTGAAGGGATCATCTCCCAAGCCTTTTCCACTGTCCTTTCCTTTATGACCCCACCCCGTTGATGCTCTTGTTTCCGAAAAATTAGAATGATGTGTAGAGGAAAATGTCGCTTAATTCAATAACACTCAAATGGTAGAAAGAACAAAGTGTTGTTGTTTTCTTTAAGATTTTATTTATTTATTTGACACAGAGAGAGAGACAGCGAGAGAGGGAACACAAGCAGGGGGAGTGGGAGAGGGAGAAGCAGGCTTCCCACTGAGCAGGGAGCCCGACGCGGGGCTCGATCCCAAGACCCTGGGATCATGACCTGAGAGCTGAAGGCAGACGCTTAATGACTGAGCCACCCAGGCGCCCTGGAACAACTGTTTTTTAAGTCAAATTTAAAATATATGATCAGAAACATAACAAAATAGAATTCTTTCATTCCTCAATTCAAAACCAGTAGTCCATATATGTGAGATAATCATCCTTTGGAAAGATGGTATTTCTGTGACTCTAATATTCTAAGGAAGATAGCTATATTTCAGAATATATATTTATTTGATATGTTTATGTACATTACAAGATTTATTTGTTGGTCATATTTTTGTTTTATTTCTTAAAAATTTGGTTTTGTTCAGAGTTCCACAGTTCATTTGATGTAATATTTAAATTCAGGTTTCAGCAAATTAGTCTGATTCATTCCACTCTTGGATCACACATAGTTATACTCCATGCTCTTGGTAATCTACATGAGAACAGACTGGATATTTCATTATTAAGGACAATCATGGTGTCCACAGGAGGGAAAGCTCCCAGACCAAGACATACTTCCTTTCTGAGATAACAGCACAGAGTTGATTCTCATAAACCAAGCTGCTCATAGAAAATAAAAGAAGGAAAACCTGTTTTCTTCTGGGAACATTATTTCAAAGCTGCCACTTGATCATATATTGCCACAAGTTGTTGACAGTTTCAATTTGGCCATCAAGAACACATTACCTCTATCTACTGCTAGGAGAAGACTGTCAACAATATTGATTACAAATATTTCCATGCCAAGAAAAAGCTGAACACTGAGTATGAGATACCAAAAGGCCCCCAAGCACGTGGTTCCAAAGATGCACAGCTGTCTTCTCAAGTCGCTTTCCAAACTGACATGAACTGGTTCATTCAGTTCATGTTCTTTCTTTAAATATTTGTTGACCCTTGTTTTCAGAAGCAAAGGACTACAAGAGAAATGAAGACCTATCTTTACCATCAGGCAGCTCAGTCTTAGTATAATTGTTTGAAGAAGTGTTTTTGAAAACGTGTATTAAATAGGAATAAACAATGAATAAAAATTTATATGTCCAATTTTGACCAAAGCATATATACATTTCTTTATTATTGATAATATAAATATTTTAGCCCTGTGATAAGCAACTACTCCAATGAGTATAAAATGTTTATAATTTTCACCAAATATCCCAAATAAAGAATCTGCAAGATGACAAGAAACATATACCAATATAGAGATGTTCATCGCACTCTAATAGAAATAGACTAATGTTGGGCAAATGTTAAAAGTATTATTAGAAAATCCATTTGAGGGCTCCTGGGTGGCTCAGTTGGTTAAGTGACTTGCCTTCAGCTCGGGTCATGATCCCGGAGTCCTGGGATTGAGTCCCACATTGGGCTCCCTGCTCAACGAGGAGCCTGCTTCTCCCTCTGACCCTCCCCCCTCTCATGTACTCTCTCTCTCTCTCTCCCATTCTCACTCTCCCAAATAAATAAGTAAATCTTAAAAAAAAAAGAAAAGAAAAGAAAAGAAAATCCATTTGATGGCCAACAGACACATGAAAAAGTACTCAGCATCGCTCAGCATCAGGGAAATCCAAATCAAAACCTCAATGAGATACCCCCTCACACCAGTCAGAATGGCTAAAATTAACAAGTCGGGAACAACAGATGTTGGCGGGGATGCGGAGAAAAGGGAACCCTCCTACACTGTTGGTGGGAATGCAAGCTGGTGCAACCCCTCTGGAAAACAGTATGGAGGTTTCTCAAAAAGTTGAAAATAGAGCTACCATATGATTCAGCAATTGCACTACTGGATATTTACCCCAAAGATACAAATGTAGGGATCTGAAGGGGTACATGCACCCCGATGTTAAGAGCAGCAATGTCCACAATAGCCAAACTGTGGAAAGAGCCAAGATGTCCATCGTCAGATGAATGGATAAAGAAGCAGTGGTATATATATATACAATGGAATATTATGCAGCCATCAAAAGGAATGAAATCTTGCTATTAGCAACAATGTGGATGAAACTGGAGGGTATTATATTGAGCGAAATAAGTCAATCAGAGAAAGACATATATCATATGACCTCACTGATATGAGGAATTCTTAATCTCAGGAAACAAACGGAAGGTTGCTGGAGTGGTGGGGGGTGGGAAGGATGGGGTGGCTGGGTGATAGACATTGGGGAGAGCATGTGCTATGGTGAGCGGTGTGAATTGTGTAGGACTGTTGAATCACAGACCTGTAACTCTGAAACAAATAATACATTATATGTTTAAAAAAAAAAAAAGAAGATAGCAGGAGGGGAAGAATAAAGGGGGAGGGAAGTCGGAGGGGGAGACGAACCAGGAAAGACTATGGACTCTGAAAAACAAACTGAGGGTTCTAGAGGGGAGGGGGTGGGGGGATGGGTTAGCCTGGTGATGGGTATTAAAGAGGGCACATTCTGCGTGGAGCGCTGGGTGTTATACACAAACAATGAATCATGGAACACTACATCAAAACCTAATGATGTAATGTAGGGTGATTAACATAACATAATAATAAAAGAAATCCATTTGAGAGAAAATCAGACCAATTAGTTTTGTCTTTAATATTTTAAGTATTAACATGTTGTTATACTAGGAAATACAAAAGTGAAAGTGAAATGATCAGATTATAGTGTTCCAAATGAGTACATGTGATTCTCAAAATAATATTTTGTTAAAATCCCTCATACATTAACACAATGATTATATAACATGATATAGTGTAGAGAAAACATAAAAATTGTGTAATATAAAAAAAACTAGAGAGGTTGAGCTTTGGTGATTGATTTTAGGGATTTTTGTTCCCTTAGGGGTGAAGATGCTTTCTAATTTATATAATGTTGATATAAAAAGTACTATCTAAAACTCCAGTTTAATTCATAGTTATTCATTCATTTAGCACATATTTATTCAGCATGCCTTCTACCAGCACTGATTAGGTACTGAGGCTCATTGGGTAAAAAGTCAGATTTTTTTTTTTTTCTCAAGGAGCCCAAGGTCTAGCAAACAAGTTAATTTGAATACTCAGTGATATATATATATATATATATATATATATATATATATATTGAGTGATACATTTTTTGACGGATTTATACACAGGGTGCTATAGGAGGCATTGCAATGGAAACTTACCCCAGTCAATAAGACCCTGGAGAATTTTCCCTGGGAAGGTAATAAGAACAAATAATTTTAAAATATACTTAAGTATGATGTGTTTTTTGTTAGTAAATTTTTGGAATTCTTGTTTGGTTCTTCTATTTGATTAAATTTAGCTTGTGAGGTGATTTCTAGTTAAAACTCTATTCACTAAAGGTTTTCCCCCACCTTCATCTGATTATTTCACAATACTCATCATGAACCACACACATCTATCCATTCTTCCTTCTGATAAAGGTAAAGTGATAAGCAATGGGGTACAGAATGTAATATCACTCCAATGAGACATGGAAATTACCTTGATTTGCTTAATAGTATATCAAATGGTAAATAGCAATACCATATATAATAGCAATAATTTAATTGGAAAATGGCAGCAATAATAAGGAGCTGCAGGAATTCCATTTAAGGATTGCTTGAATGGCCATGAAAGAAGATAGAATTTAAATAATGTTATTATTATAAGAACTAAACAAAGAAGAATGTGACAGCATTTCTGGGGGTTGGGTAATGTAGTTAAATATACAATGTTAGTAATATGCCTTGGTTTTTGATAGAAACAGTTTCAGGGAGAGTGAAGTGCAGACAGCATTAAATAATGAACTACACATGTTTCAACTTCATTTTAAATATCAATATTATCCAGATTTCTACTTTTCCCTAGAATGATTGGGTGTTGAGAAATTTTATTTAAAAGCTTATCTGGGAACCCAGCATATGAAGCAAATAAAAACAAAGTGACATTTTTGGAAGCAGCAGGGAGGCGATGAGTCCCATGACTTTTCCAGCTCCTCTCTTTTCTCAGGAGGCACAATTTAAACACCTCTGCCTATAAAGACTGAAATAAATGGCCATTGGCAGGCTGGGATGTGTCTATGTGTGTTTGATGGGATTTGGGGTGACATTCAAAGAAGTACTAAGAAATAATATTTCTTTGATATGGGATTAAGGATGTATTGGAACAAAGAGAGATGAAAATAAGCATTCCAATTAGATAGTCACAAAAATGATTTAAAGTATCTTGAGGGTGTTGACAATGGGAGACTGAGAAGAAAGTTATAAGCTCTCAAAAGTTACTTAGCTTTGAGAGCGGTGCTTCGTGAAATCTAAATTGGGATACATTTTTTTTTGTAAAAAATACAAAAAACATAATTTTGAGAGTAG